AACCAAATCCGAGACTAGAACGGCTCCGAACAGAGCAATCAAGAAGAAACCACAGCAGGCAATATAATTCATTCTCTCCAAATATAGTTCTCTAATCAGTATTTTATGCTAGTTAGCTTTGCAATGCCTCTTTGACTAAATGGATGTTTCACCAGTACTTGTTCTCAGTTTGAGTTTGTTATCTTTTGGTTCAGAATGATGCATCGGTTGATAGCTTCCTGGAATCATTGGGTCTCGAGAAATATTCGACCGCATTTCAAGTGGAAGAAGTATGTAAATTTTATTTACTGCTAGTTCCCGCGTTCTCTTCTTGACGCCGTCTATAGATGTACAAGGATTCTTATTGGTTTTCATCTTTTTCCAGGTTGATATGGATGCTCTCAGACATATGACAGATGATGACCTCAAAGCTCTGCTCATACCAATGGTAAAATCCTTGATAAGCTTCCTCAAGATTTGTTGTCGCCATGCTTAATATCAATATACCTTACTTAATAGTCATTACCTTAGTTTTACTCCATTTTTAATTCGATTACTATTAAGAAAACAATGTTTAGATTGGAGTTTCTCTGTTTGAAATCTTGACTTGGTTTGTTCTTTTTCAGGGACCTAGGAAGAAGATACTTCTTGCCTTGGGATCTAAACGTGGATAGTCCAGCTTCTCAAGCTTAGGTGCATGATGATACATCTGGGATATTGTCAGAAAGATGCTGCATTTTGACTTTTCATAGTCTTTTTCCTTTCTCATCTGTATCTCAAGAGACAACAAGTAGTTAGAGTTTTGAGATTAAACAGTTGTAACCCTTTAACATAGAGAGAGAGACAGGAAGAGCAATGTTGCAATGTGCTTAAGATCGTGCTTCTCTTGATGAACCTTGTAGAACGCAAAGGTGACAAGAAAACAAACTTGTGACTGGAAGGTAAGACACAAGAGTTGATCATTAACCAAGTTTTGCTAAAATAAACATGAATAAAAGACAGAATTTGAAAGTGAATTTAGTAGACTCAATGACAATACAATCCTCATTTTGCAAAGGACTGATTCTTCTAATATTTTAGATATGATAATGAAAAGATGTTACAGGCCATATTTGGTAACAAGCAACTTATGTTATTTGTCTTTAAGTATGATTAAATTATTAAACTTAAATATACTAACAGTTAGCCGTCTTAGCTCAGTGGTAGAGCGCGTGGCTTTTAACCACGTGGCCGTGGGTTCGATCCCCACAGACGGCGTTTTCAGTATTTATGATTTTTTTTTTCCTTTTTTGTCATCTAAATATACATTGATACTTGGTGGAATAATACATTCAACTTTACTAAATTGCAAAGGAAGTACGAGTTAGTGTTTACAGGGAGAAATACAAACACCAACTGCCAAAAGAATGAGATTCATACAAGAGCAAATAAGAGCAAGTAAAACTAAACAGAGGGAGTGATTCTCTCATCCTCTCTCTCTATAAGAATCCTTTAAAGTGTCCTTAACAACAATTTGAGCAATGAGAATAGCACCTTTATTTGTTGAGTGAGGCTCCAAAACTAAAGTCCAATCTTTTAGTTGCCCAAATGCCGGCGACATTTCAGAAGATTGGTAACTGGTAAGCAAACTAAAGATGGCTACGCATTTGGCAAGTTCGTTGCCTTGATAATGTTAGCTACTTCTGAGGCAAGAACCACCCCCTTTCTATCCGAAGTCTCTGCATCCCTTCAATAGACCAGATATGCTGAATAGGTTTCCTTCATTTCTTGTGTATCATAATGCTAATAGGTTTCCTTCATTTCTTATGTATCATTGCTCAAACAGAAGTACACATCCTAAACCCAAAAAATGTTTTTAACTTTATAAATTAACTCAACCCCGGAAAATGGTGTATTTCTTAATTTTGATTAAATTAACGGATGTATGTGTGTGTGTTTCTTAATTCTCTCATGTGTATGTGTGTTCTATATCAACGGATGTGCTATTTTTGTTATACTTACAAAAAGATGTTAACATAAAAAAAAATTCGGAACACTAAACTCAAATTACTCTTAACCAAAAAAATAAGTTTAAAGACCTATAATAAACTAAAATCTCCAAAAATAACATATTTTTAATTTAGATAAAATTACTAGATTTTAAGATTTATATGTAAAACATATGTTAGTGTATATGTTCTATATAGAATGACTCGTTTTTACTAAGTCACATATACGTCTTTAGATTTATATTTTTCTAAAATTTAAATCATAGTATGAGCGAAGTTTTAAAAGGGTTTCGAGATTTATTTATTTTTACAAAATTTGATAGCAAATAAGTCTAGAGAGACGAAACAAATGTATTATCCAAAAAGAAAAAAATATAAAGAGAGAAGGAAAGAAAACAAAAGACAAAAAAAATGTGCCTATCTATATATACATTTTTGAATCACTTTTAACAAATAAATCCTGGACTTGGAACTTATTTACAATACAATGCCATTGGCATTTAATGTTTTAACAAAAAATTTCTCAAATCTAAATATTAATCGATTTTGTTACTAAAATTTAGGAAACTAAAAGAAAAAAATTACAAAAATCATTTAAATTTTTCCTAATTCTTCATTAAAAAAAAAATTTGTTTTAGTTTTATGTTTTATTTTTTATTTTTTCATATGTTTGATTATGTTTTTTGCCAATCATGTTTGTTCAATACAATATCACTCTTCTTGAGAAGATCGAAATTGATTTTATTTTATTTTGAATCACTTTTTGGAGAGTATGATCTTCCTCTTATAGTAGTAGTTCATATGTACAAGCCATCCATCACAATTTTAAAAAAAAAAAAACACTCCCTAAAACTTTCTTTTCTGATTTTTTAATTCCGGCGTTCTAATTTTGTTTTTCTATATACTTTTTTCTAATTTGCAATTGTACAAAATAATTATCACTCCCTAAAACTTTCTTTTCTGATTTTTTTATTCCGGCGTTCTAATTTTGTTTTTCTATATACTTTTTTCCAATTTGCAATTGTACAAAATAATTATCACTCCCTAAAACTTTCTTTTCTGTTTTTTATTAAATTTTGTTCTTTTTCTGGTAAGAATAAATTGTACATGTATTACGTTGATATTGCTAATTCAAATAATGTTAACAAAAATGCCCAAATATAGGCTATATTAAAAGAAAAAACAGTTAGTCAAAAACACAAGTATATCAATCCCAAGTTATGATTAAACTAAATATTTATTTATAATATTTTTTACCCAAAACAATAAATTTATATATACTAAAAAATTTGAAGTACCTTTTTTAAAGTACTTTTGTGTTAGTAAAGTAAGAATTTACAAAGAATGTCATCACATTAAAGTCAAAAAACAATTATTATTTTTGAAATATTATTATTGATATATTTTAAATTTATAAAACATTATTAATTAAAATATCATGAGACGAGTTATATAGCGGGACGGGTTTCGATTAATATAACATGGGTTATATCTATACTTTATTATTTTATCATCACTAATTTTTTTTAGTTACAACATTAATATAAAATTATATAACTTTAATACTAAATTAAAAACCATAAAATTTAATATTTATTATATATATGAATAAAACATTTGCCCCGTGGTGTACCACGGGTTAAATCCTAGTAAAGACAATATGATCCAACTAGTAATTTACAAATAGAATATCATAACATTTTGGTTGTGATCGGTGGTTTTATAGTAATTGGGCTGAAAGAGAAATAGTAATTGAGCTCAAAGAGAAACATCAAAGTAGAGAAAAAGTTTACTCCACTATTTTTAGGCAGAAATTTTTTCAGCTTTAAAAGTAAAAATAGAGGAAAAAGACCGGAAAAAAAAAAAAAACAAATCAGCTTAAAATATTATTTTATCTTAATTGAATCAGATAGTACTGGTCCTTTATTCTGTTTTTAAAACTCTAATAGTACTTTCCAATCAAACCCTTTATGGTATATGATTATTTGACAAATTAAAAAAAATTTTGTGGTTATTATTACCAATATATCTACAAATACAATGTAAATATTTTTCTAAATTAAATAACAATTTATAGATTCCATATAAATATACATATTATTTTATTCTAATTATATATACATTTGGTTAGACTTTTGATTTTCAATGTACACACTGATTCATTACTAAATGTGACTTGTAATCTTCTGATAACATCACAAGTTGGCAATAAAATATTCGCCCATGATGTCCCTTCTAAATTTTATTTTTAAACTTACCACCCTCAATTATATATTTTATTTCATTTAAGAAATGTAGTCTAATTGTACAAGCATTTATTTATATTTATACTTGACGATGGGTATTGTAAAATTGCTAACATAGTCTAAATATATATACAAAAGCACGAGATTTATGAAACGATTTTTTAAGAATTATCTTTATGATGCTTTAGTTCATGATTAATTCACAAGTCAATAAACCATATTCAATGTCCCCAATAAGGAAAAAAATCACAAAAATATATTGAAAAAGAATCTTTGACTTAACTTATAATATCAAATCTTAGTAATTATCAGAATATTTGAAATTATAAAATCATCGTATTAATAGCATCTTGTTTAATTAACATTTCTAAATTATTATTTCTTAATTTTTGCTGTTAAAAACTAAATTTATTAGCTAATTTTTATCCTAGTTTATTGTTTTGATATTATCAGCCTCCTATTAGTTTAATACAATATTTATTTATGACTTTTGGACTATAGTTTTTCATATTTCAAATCAGTAGGGATAATACATGTAAAATGGAAAACGGTTCTCATATGTATCTTCAATCCATTCAGATTTTTTTATAATGTTCATGCATTAAGCTTGATTTGGACGTTTAGATTTTTTTCTTGTAATAAAAGAAAGATACCCTATATAACACAATTTTATTAGCTGTAAATATATTTTATTTTGTTGACTAGATGTAATCTAAAATTAAATATCACTTACCAAAACCCTTTCATTACTATATATATAATACTACACATTCACAATTTCAAAACAAAACACACAAACAAAGAAGAAGAAAACAAAAAGAAATAAAAAAATTTCAATGACGAGAAAGAAAGTGAAACTTGCTTACATTCCCAACGATTCTTCAAGAAAAGCAACTTTCAAAAAAAGAAAGAAGGGTTTGATGAAGAAAGTACACGAACTCTCGACTCTATGTGGCATCACTGCATGCGCGATCATCTACAGCCCGTACGATACCAGCCCTGAAGTATGGCCATCAAATTCCGGTGTACAAAGGGTGGTTTCAGAATTTAGGACACTCCCGGAGATGGATCAACACAAAAAGATGGTAGATCAAGAGAGTTTTCTCAAACAAAGGATCGCGAAAGCGACAGAGAATTTGAGGAGACAAAGAAAGGACAATAGGGAGCTCGAGATGAGTGAAGTCATGTTCCAATGTTTGATGGGAAACATGGAGATGTTTCATCTAAATATTGTGGATCTTAACGATTTGGGTTATATGATTGAACAATATCTTAAAGATGTTAATCGCAGGATCGAGATTTTACGAAATTCTGGTATGGAGATTGGTGAATCTTCTTCTGCTGCGGCGGCGGCCTCTGAAGGGAATAGATTAATGCCAGATTTGGTGGCTACAACAGCTCCCACCACTACAATTTATGAGGTGGGTTCTTCTTCATCTGCGGCTAACGCGAATTTCTTTAATCCTATTGAGCATCAACAATTTCGTCATCCGGCGGTTCAACATGTTGGACTTAATGAGCAACCTTGGAATCTAAATCTGAATTTAAATCAGAATCATAATCAGAACCAACAACAATGGTTTATGGAAATGATGAATCATCCTGAGGAAATGAGGTATCCAACAGAGCAAATGGGGTTTCAATTCATGGATGATAACCACCAAAACCACATCCACCACCAGCAACAAGAGCACCAACATCATACCCCTGGCGAATCCTTCAACCGCTCCTGATGCCGCTAACTCAAGCAATACCATCCATGTTACTTGTTCAAGTATTACCAATAATATATGGTTCCGTTAGGATTTCGTTGAATGTGGCATTACAATAATTTCGAGAATCGATTGATAAGTAAAACTATAACTAGCTTTAAGTATTTTTTTTTTGTTGCACTACAATTTACGTTTTAATGTTGTCTGTTTTGTGATGGTGATATCTTCATTATATTTTCACAATGATTCTGCTTTTTATATTCAAATATTTTTGATACTCTTATTTTTGTTGTTTCATTTTTCTTTATGATATGTGTTTTTCCCCACATATATGTGTTCTCTTTAATAAATTTTTTGCGCATATTATATTTAAGGTTTTTTGTTACTTTTAGTTATGAAATAGAACCGTTGAGATTTTATACATTTTATTTTAATTATGGAAACATTGCACCTCACATTGTTTTTTTAAACTATTTTAGTTTAAAGTTTTTAAGAGTATAACTATTATATAATATTATAATCAATAATAGACATGGAAATGTTAATTCACATTTACTTAATATATTGAGTTTAGACTCTAAAATATATTTTACCAACTTTAGAGTCTAAGATATATTACCAAATGTTAATCCCTAACTAATGGTAGATGGCGATTACCTAATATATATTACCAAAAGCTGTTATTCTTCATGAGAATTACACATAAATTTCAAATGATAAATTATTTTGATTTTTAAAAAAAAATTATGCCAAAATTTAAATACATTTAGTTGAAATTTGAGTAACTCCAAAAGTTATATCCATTCTACTCGTAGATTAACTACATCATATATCAAAAATTAAAAATGCCAACATTTTGTTTTTTTTAACACCTTAAAAAATGCTAACATTATACACACACATTTAGTATGATTTCTTTTCTTTTTTTTTCTCCAAGTGTAGTGTATTGCTCTTAATGTTTTTCTAAATAATGAGATTTTACATTTTCAACATGACTTTTTAAAATATATAATGTACCTTTTAAACAAAGTTATAATGTTAGAGTTTCCTTAAATCGAAAACCTGATATAAAGTTTCCTTCGTCGTGGTATGATACAATGTTGTGGCTGTAATTGCATACCGATGCTCAAAAAAATCTATATTGTGACTCCACCAGCACGAGTTGTTAAGATAGAGCATGGATTGGAGGTTGTTTTGAAGACTTTCCGACTATCAAATAAGTAAAACAAACTATAAAACTTAGTCGAAAACTAGATAGAACCAAAAGTTGTGGAAAATAACTAGTGACCAACAAGTATGAAGAAAAAAGGTAGTATGAAGTTTGGCTGATGATTTAGTGGGATCGAAAATATGAAATTTGGGGGTTTAATTTATACGAAGATATGACAGGAAAATAATTAAAAAGTGTTAATTACTAAGTCTCCAAGGAAAAGAAATATTCTAAAACTAAAGGGAGGGCCAAGGGATTATTGAGGAATGCTCGAGGTCAATCAAAAGAAAATAATCGATGATCTTTTGGAAAAATGTGGACCCTTTTAGAGAAAGTTGTTTTCATAGGGTACATATAATTTGGGTTAGTATACTGGGTTAATGATACAGTAAAATCTCTATAAATTAGTAATACTAGGTGAGGACCCACGCATACGCGTGGGTTTGATTCATACTTTTAAATTTTTATGTTTATCATTGTTTTTTGTTTTTACGTATAAAACTACATTAGACTATTATACATCTTCGTAATGTAAAGAAAGTTTTTACAAACGTTTCTATTTTAGAGACAAGAATAGGAAGACCAAGTTAAGTTATTTTATAGAGAGCTCAAAAGCAAAAAAAAAGATATTAAGATCCTTCGATACATCCACAAATACACAACCACATTGTTACAGCGTTAATAAAGTTTTGATAAAACACAGTTCAAAAAGTGTAGACCTTTTAGTCGACAGTTTGGACGCCTTTTGATTGACCCTTTCCTAGATTAAAACTTTTCTGATTCATCCATGTATTCTTTCATATCATCAGAAACATTAAGCCCAGTCAAGGTTTGGAATATTCGATTATGAATAATGCTTACATGCTTACATTACATGCATCAAAATATGGACAACAAGCAGAACATATTTTATCAACAATAACCAGCAAGTGAATTAAAATGGAGTAGAAATATATTTTTAAAGAATTATACTTCTGCTTTAGTTCTTAAAGAATTATATTTCTGCTTCCATTTCAAACTAAAACATGTTCTAATAAAAAGACAGACACACAATTTAAAAACCTCTAATTCTTTCTTTCCTATAAGCCAAAATAAAGCAGAATGAAATATTCCCATTTTTATAAATATGTGCCATGTCTAGGGTTTATGAACAATCAACGATATATCTAGATTCTAGATTCCTCATCTTCACTAATCTGCTATGAAGCATCACATAACTGTAACATTTTTAACTAAAAAACAAAAACTATTTACAAGATTAAGTATAATATTGTATTACGTAACTAATCTGCAGCTCTAAAAATGTTCCAATAGTTGATAAGCTTATATATTTATTTTTATTTTATTATAATGATAAAATTAGAGTTTGATTCTTCAACATGCAATAGTTATTTGTTCATGTCTAAGTAGTAAGCAATACTCCTTATCCACCACACCTTTCTTTTTGTGATCTCTTTCATGCTTCGTCTTTGTACTTGTGACTCGGAACAATAGAGGTGAACATTAACATGTGATAGAGAGAAGAATGAGGCGAAGTTCTAGTTTTCTCTAACAAAAGAAGTGCAAATTCATCCGGATGAATTTGGATTTTGGTTTCAGCCTCTAGATTTCTCCATGGGAATCAATTGAGATCAATTGTGAAATTGAGATGTTATTAACACAAAGGTGTAGTGGTTTACGTGTGTTTGAGGCCATGAGAATTTAAAAAGACTTTTGAAACGGCCGAACGAAAAATAACGGAATTAAAGCACCGAGAAGATGAAAAGGATGAGTAATAAAAATAAAAACTGCCACGTGTCCATCTTTGGAGTGCTGACGTGTCCATCATATGGAGAGTGTTCACCTCCTTTTATATATATGATTGGGACTAGCAAATTTTATTAATTTATAGGGGTATTAATTTATCGATAAATTAATAATTATTAATTTATAGAGAGATTTTAATAATTTTGTAATTTTTTAAAATACTTTCTATCTAAAAATAATTTTTTTTATAAGTAATATCTTTTAAAAAATAATTACAAGTAGAGAAGTAATTATTAAGTTTAAAAAAATAACACAAACTTTTTTCGAATAATAGAGTCATATTTTATTAATTTTTTTACATAGAATATTTTAAATATATATCATAGTAATTCAAATATGACATATATAAATTGATAAGTTTGTATAATTATTTATTTATGATATCGATGAGACCATATGTTTATATGGGATTTTCAAGAAAAAATTATTATCTTATTAATTTATTGATTTATGTCATATTTTACACTAGTCCTAACTCGGGACCGGAAGAATTTATTAATTTAGAGAGGTTATTAATTTATAGAGTATTAATTTATAAAGGTTTTACTGTAGATCCATTGGTTAATAAGGTATGAAGCACTTGAGTAGTTTGATGTATTTTTTTGTTTAATTTGAGTGTTTCCAACATATTAATTCAGCGACACACGAAATTGGAGGCAATGTCCTCAAACTCCTTATTTTTAGAAGATCCGCGGACAGTGCCGGTCCGATATATGCGAGTACCCTACGCAAAACTTCAAAAAGTATGCCTTTTTCATATATTACAAAAACCATTAACGAATCATTATCGGATTAGCAGCTTTCTTTTTTAAAACAAATTTGCAAAGAAAAAACAATAAATTCAATAGCAAAACTAACAATTAACTTCAAAAACTAGGATTTTTCACTTGTAAAATAAGCAAATTGACTCACATACACGCATAAGAGGTATCATGTAGCGTCCGTTTTTTTTTTTTATATTCAATCAGCGTTTTAGAGTTTTTTTTACTAAATCAAAAATTTAGTGTTGAAGATAATTAGTTTGTCTTAAAAAGCCCATATCATTTTTTTAAAAAAGGCCCTACAAAATAAATTTATAGCTTTTGCAGCATATCCAAAACTTAACAAATTTTTAGTTTAAAGGGTCCTAAAATTTTGGAACCCCAATCGCTGGCTTCAATTGCTTGGCCTCTGCGCCGGCCCTGTCCGCGGGTTAGTCAACCAATTTATAAGAAAGTATGATCGGCAATACAAAAATATACTAAAATATTATTTAAATTAGAAATAGAATAAGAATATTCAAATAAACAAATATGAATAGGGACTCGTGACTCCTTTGGGTGGAGATCAATTCAACACGGGAAAGATCTTTTATGTCAAGGTTTGAGAGCTCGAATAGGGAATGGCCAAAACATTAAAATCTGGAGTGATAATTGGTTGCCTACTCTTCCACCAAGACCAGCGGCTGGACCTATTTTGGACCCGATGATGACTGTCTCGGACCTGTGGAAGGAAGGGCAAAGGGAATGGGATCCTACCATCTTTGAAGGTGTCTTGAATCCGGAAGATCAAAAACTGGCGAAAAGCCTCTATCTTATGTTGTTCATGGTACAGGACAACATTATCTCTCGGACTACCTTGAAGACAATATGAGAAGCCTTCTCCTCCGGGCTACGATTTCAAGTTTCTCTCAGTCCCAACGTCTGTTACCTTTTTGGATAGTTTGGAGACTATGGCGGTCAAGGAATGATTTTCTGTTTCGCAAGATAACACGAACTCCACAATCTGAAGCAACTAAGGGGACAAATGAAGCGACTGAATGGTTGGACGCCAATATCAACTCCGATGTTGATAGCAACAGTACTTCAGCACGGACTACTCCCAGTGATAAATGCTCCCGATGGTCGCCTCCACCAATTGGTTGGCTGAAGTGTAACTTCGATAGCGGATACAAGCAAGGGCAATCCTTTACAAATACGGGCTGGGTGATAAGGAACAGTGATGGGAAAGTACTTCTTTCGGGATGTGCAAAACTTAGTTCTTCTACCTCTGCATTGCAGGCCGAAGCTTTGGGATTCTTACATGTTCTTCACGTAACTTGGTCTCAAGGAATGTGTCAAATTTGGTTTGAAAGCGATAGTAAAGAATTGACTTCCATCATTAACAAGTGTGAGGACCATTCGCAGATTGGCACTCTACTTCAAGACATTCGATATTGGATGGCAAAGCTCCCACTTGCATCTTTAGATCATGTTAATCGAGAACGAAACAGTGCCGCGGATAAGATGGCTCATCAAGCTATAACTATGAACTCTTTATATAATGTGTACTCTGTTCCTCCTTCTGTTCTAATTCCTTATTTGTATCAACCTTACACAATCTAATAATAAAGCTTCAGGTGTTAAAAAAAAATAAAACAAATATGAATAAAATACTAACAAGGAAAAAATT